ATTTTAATTTTAATTTTAATTTTAATTTTAATTTTAATTTTAATTTTAATTTTAATTTTAATTTTAATTTTAATTTTAACTTTAACTTTAATTTTAATTTTAATTAATTTTAAATTTAAATTTAATTTGAATTTTAATTTGTTTTAAGATAATTTTCTTAAAGCAGAGTTTCTCCTTTTGACTGAGACAATTTTTTCATACCAACATTGACTTTTACATCACAAAAAAAAATGTGTTGTGCCAACAAAGAGCCCATAACTGGTCCACAGACATGAATCATAGAATTCCAAGACAACTTCGTGATAAATTTCCCCTCGGCACATGAAATATCAATCAATATTTCCCATCTGTCCTTGTTTACAGTATAGAATTCAATCAGAACAACCACTATAAACCTCACACCCCTCACCACTCAACAAGTTCCAACTCTTTTCCCTGAGATATTATTTTTTATTGTGTTATCAAGACGTGTTACCTTTTTTGCGCCATAAAGGTCAATGCTGTAATGAAAAATTGTACCGCCGCAACACAAGCTGTGAAATACTAGGATAGTTAATTCCGGCCGAGTAATGAAGTATACATTTTTCTCTTCGCTGTTCATAAAACAGTGTTCATCAGTTATGAATTATCTATAAAATTCCCTTTTACAGACAGAGAGATGAAAAAGTTGATTAGTCAGATGAATAGATATTTTATTTATTTAACAATAATAAATAATAAAGTCGTTAAAAATTTTCTTTAATCAATAATAATAATAATAATTTCAATATTAATACTAATCTAATGTTTAATGATCACTCAAATAATCCTAATCACTCTGTAGACATAAAAGCTCAATCGATTTATTTCTACTCGAAATAATCTCCTTGTCACTTTGATACTTCAAATTAATATTGTCGCCGCAAATGTATATTGTAACATCAAAGGGTCATAATGAATCCGTACTTAGGTCTCACTTAGGCCTAAGTGTCGTAATAATAGCTGCACTAATAGCTCCAATAATCGAACATGGTCATTCAAGCCGATGGCGGATTGGAATTATCAGGTCAGAAATCCTCAACGATTCACAAGTGCAGCTGGGCGAGTAGAAATTAGGAATCATACAAATTACATCGCAGCGGCTAGTTGAATCACTGAATTAGGGTTTGGTTAGTAGTGCACCCGCTAATTGGCTACCACTTGCTTTTACACCTTCTCCATTTCTCCGAGTGCGTCCAAATCAGCAAACCACCTACCAAACCCATACCGAACTCGCCTGCTCAGCAATGCAAATACACAAACCTACCCGCGAAACGAGGGGCTATCGTTGCGAGTTAATCCCCAGTCCGATTTCCACACATACCAATTCAGTAGCGAAACGGTAAAACGGTTTAAGTCGATTTTTATCGAAAATTAGTTAATCTCTGAAATTGACTCTCGAGGGTATAACGCACTTCTTACACTAAATTTTTTAATCTCTCAACATGTATGGAATGAATTTTTTATAATGACATAGAATGAGTTCAGTTGTAACTTTAATTTCAAACGAACTAGGTTGACATGAGCCAAAAAATAGTTATTTGAAAATGGTACTGTTTAGCATGAAACGGCGTTGCAATACAAGTTGATGACATGATTTGAATGTCATCAACATTCTGTAGGTTGGGAAAGTGTACATAAGATCCCATGTACAAGAAGAGGAAGACCTCGATTGTTAATAACTTGAGGAGGACATCTGAAAAATATGAGAGAATATTTATAGACACTTCTCTATGATTATTATCTTGCATGAATTTCGAAGAAAGTTCATCTTTCGCCTTTTTCGAATGACATCCCTTTGTCAGAATATCAAGTTAAAATTCATAGAAATATATTGAACTGATTTATG